GTTATCTTTTCTTCCATTGATATCTCAAATGCTTTCTTTCTAATGGAAGCTGTGGAATATTGCTGCCATTGTTGGAACTTTGATGTCAATCAAGGATAGAATGGGAAATGAATAGGTGTAATGTGAAGTTTATGTTTGAGGTTTTAATTTTGAGTTAAAGGATCTATTGATTTCATGGGGTACTCTTGTTTTGTAGTCTAACTTAAATAGAATCTTTGTGTTACATTGGCTGCTGAGTTTTTAAGTTCCCATTTTAGGTATGATCTTTGTCTTTTTGAGGTAGACTCACATTGTAACTTGGACTTTGTTGTCCAGAGTTATGCATTACTTTAGAACTGGTTGAATGCTGAGGCTCTTTTGTGAAATTTCTGTCAGTAGAATGCTGAGGCTGTTTGTAACTTTAGCAATTAATCTCAGTTAAAGGGAATTTCTCTTGGACACATGAAGGAGGAGAGGAAGGATTCCTGGTCACTTTTGTAAGCAGAAAAATATTCCTGCAACAAACTGTCCCTCCATGTTTTGCCACTTTTAGATTTCAGGGTAACATCTTATAATGGGACCTGATTAGAGGACTGTTGACCTTGATAGAAGAATTCGGTGATGGTGTCTATGTTTGAGTATTCTAAATAGTGTTCAACATTATTCCATTATTAGTTGAGCCTTCTTAAAGTTGTTCTTTTGATTTCCTGAAGTTCATCTGTTGTGTCATGATAGCCTCGTCCTATTCTTGTCTTTGTCTTTGTGAGAAGTGCTGATTAATTGTGCTGCAGGGAAATGCGGCATATAAGGGAAAGCAGTGGAATAAAGCTGTAAGCTACTACACCGAAGCAATTGGGTTGAATGATAAAATTGCTACTTACTATTGCAATAGGGCAGCTGCATTTCTGGAATTAGGATGGTAGGATTTATCCTCTGGATAATGTTTTCTGGTAGTTACTGTTTTAGTTCTTGATTTTATATTAATTGAAATGATTGATCTCTTGCAGCTTTCAACAGGCTGAGGAGGACTGCACTAGCGCAATATCTCTTGATAAGAAGGTGAAAAGAACTTATTAGTTTGTTGTACCATGTTATTGTAAAGGTGCTACTGTTTAGTGTTTGCCCTTCATATCTCAAGGAGGACAGCATAGGGTGAGGACTCATATAAGTAACTACCAGTTATATGAAACTAAAGCGAGAAAGAGAGTTGCACAAGATGCAGTCTCACGTGATGAGCTTTGAGAGTTGCTTTTGCTTTGTATAGTCTTCCTTGCTATTGTCCTACTAGTGTAGGCCATTGCTGAAAGTGGCTGAGCTCGCAAAATATACTCTCTAGTGTCTATGTCTGTTTTTGGTAAATTCTTTCAATATATTTTCTCAATTATCGGCTCTGTTCTTAGTAATTTAGGCTGACAAAAATTATTTTTGTTTGAGCAGTATAAAGTAAGAAATTGTACTATCATGCTGATTTGCTTGGCCATATCTTGTGAACTAGACTGATTCTCTGGGGTTTCAAGAATGCACTAAATAAACAGATTTTTTTTTGTCTCCATGTGTTGACATGATTTTGAAGTTTAGCTGCTAGCTTATGTTGTACTAGTGTAGGGTTTATTGGTCTGGTTATTCTAACGTGTAGACTAGTTGCAGGTGTAAATAGACTTTTATGAATTGTAGCTATTCTTAGACCTTGGCGTGGCCAAAGTCTGCTGAATTGGCTGTGCCAGGTTTTCAATTTTTTATTTGTTCGCACATGGGGGTTAATGTCACCAAGACCATAAGAATATCTAAATTCTAGTATTAATGCTTTCTGTCTCATTACGCAGAATGTGAAGGCGTATTTAAGACGAGGAACAGCTAGGGAATCACTTCTTTGCTATAAAGAAGCTCTTCTAGGTGAGACTATACTTTCTTTTGGAGTTGCCTGTCTAAAATTGTTTGCCTAATATCTGTACTGTCAAGAAGTTTGTTTCTTGAGCAATCGAAATATTTATAGATAAAACTGATTAATGCATTGATCACTAATAAAAGTGTACTCAATGGATAGGCTGCAATGACATTTCTGACATGGCTGTATATCTGCAGACGGGATAAAAGAGAAAATGGGTAGAAAAGAAAAATGAAACTAAGGAATTGCTGTTACTGAAAAGAGATTTGACTATAGAACAATCATATGATTTTCTGGTTTTTAATATTTTGATTCTTAAACTATTAACAGAAAAACTTTTCAGTTAACGTAAGGCCAAAATACAAGGGGGCCAAAATGTTAGTTTGGAAACCATAAATGGATAAGGTAACTAGCAGATTTGATGTACCACTGAGTTTTTAAGTAATTTAGCCTACAGTTAATCCAACATGCATGCTGGCACAGACTGGAATGTGTTGGTGGGATTTAGGTTCCATAACTATATGTTCTAAGTTGCCTTTGAAAAAAGAAAAAAAAAAATACTGTGTTGTAAGGAACCATGGACCAGATTACTTAACAATCTTATTTCTTCTCTCTTCTGTTTGGGGCTGAAGATTTCAAGCATGCTCTTGTACTGGAACCGCAAAATAAGGCAGCTAATCTGGCTGAAAAGAGGCTAAGGAAACTTATTAGTTGAGGCCTCTCTTTGCAACTATTGTTTTACATCATGGAGTCGCAGCGGAATGGTTGGATAACGAGTTTGCTGGTGAGGCTCCGACTCTTTCGTAGGCAAGTTGTTTCTCAGCAAAATCGATAGAAGTTAAGCAGTTGCCAGATCATGGCATGAGGAATGCTGTACAGAGATTTTTTGTCTTTGTTGATGGAATATGATTACTTTGTATAGTGGATCTTCATGGTGCAAATGCAATGTCATTCTCAATATCGGTGCACAAGAAACCTGATCTTTCTCTCTCCTTTTTTAGGAGGTCTCTGTTAGTCTCAAGTAGAGCTGCTGCACTACTTTGAGATTTTTATTTATCTGACACCCTTGGAGACCCTCTTGTCCAGAAGTCAACGCGTACGGTAATTAATTAACGATTTGTTATATATATATATATATCTTGTACCTGTACATACAAAAGTGGGAGTGAGTAGTATATCCTAACAAAATCAACCACTAGGCCTTTGGCTCAGTGGCCACCATCTCTTTGGTGGGGTGGGAGGCAAGGGTTCGAACTTTGCCTCCCACCAAAAAAATGTCACATTTCAGTGGCTTGTCTTCAAAAAATTCAGGCGGGTGTGTTGTGTACCCGTCTGGCCTGGTGGTGGTTTAGTCCCCTTCGATTTATTCTTGGGTCTCTTTAGACCCGCTCCCTTCCTCTTAGTATAGAATAGATTAGATTTATCGTCTCCGACCAAAAAAAAAAAAAAATATATATATATATATATATATCCTAACAAAATCAAAGTGTGAACGAAGTTATGAACAGGGTTTTGGTCTCCTATTAACACGTTCAGTAGGTGGGTTAACTTGGAATTTCAATTCGAAATGGTAACCTGCTGATTGTGTGGATATGTGTGTGGATATGTGCAGGAGGTGGCACTTATGGCTGTTTGATTTTATCATTTGACCCTCGTGCCTATTTTTGAATTGTGAACTAACGCAGGAGTCTAAGACTCGCAATTTTGAAATCAAAGATACAAATTAAATTTTCTCCCAGCCACAGCTTGATTTCCAATGTTTTGATTTAATATTTAGGGCTTTTCCCCTTGGATCAATTGATGGGACTCAGTTCATTTGATTTGGTGGGCATTATTGTTCTTTTATCTCTTCTATAGTCTCTTGATACATCCTTCTTGTCATACATGAAACTTAATTATTTGGAGGTATTTCACTTGGTTATGGGATGTGATTTGATTTTTCTTTTTTGGGTTAATGTTCTGTTTGAAGTAGAATTAGTTTTACATTCTTAATTGGGTTTGATTCTGGGGACCATTTTTTTTGTATATAAATGGATTAGAATTTTTCTATGTTTGTAAAATATTGTCAATACGTTCTCCGCCTAGGACTGTATCTTGAATCATGGTGCTTCTCTCTTTGCCCGTTATCAAATTGAGCATTTCATAGGCTTGAAAACGAAATTGATTTTGGTTTGTCTTTTTTTTTTTTAACTGAATGGAAAAATGAAAATTACACTTACGGAACATTGTAATTACTGGAGTTTGTATGGGAAGAAAGGGAGGTTCATTTTTCCCTTCAATGTAGTAGTAGTTGCATTCATGTCATAGATGCTATGATCAGAATAATAGACATGATTGAATTCCTGGATCTCAGGTATGCCTTATTTGACTTCAATCCATCGTTAAACCTTTCTTAGGTGAAGGAAGATATATTCTATCATTGGAAATGGATTAAGCGCCATGATTAATTCCTCAGTCTAGACATGATTGGATTAACTCCTTAGTCTAAAGAATGCCTTATTTGACTTTAATCCATCATTAATCGCTTTCTTGGGTGTAGGAAGATATATATTTTTCAAAGTTAAAATCAAATTTGACATTATTCAATTCATTGTGCTCTATTGGTTTCTTCACATAATAATATTGCATTTGTTACAATACATATAATAATACATAACAAAATACTTCACCTACCCCTAATTTTAGTATTAATATCCTTATACCATATAAGATTGAGTTATGGTTAAAGGGAGTTTTGAATTTTATCTGCATGAATAGGGGTTCACTATAACAAAAATGACCTTTAACGGCATTTAAAGGTGTTAGTATAGATAATCTAAACTGACACTTTACCTTTCCCCACATCTCGGACAAGTGTTGTTTCTTCCAATGTGGGGATAGGCTCGTAGCATTCAAATGTGTCAGGAAAATTATGTTGTTATAACGTCCCATCTGCCAATCAAAATCCTTTTTTTTGGTAATCGAAAATGTCAAGATAGTTGTAGTACCACATTAGGAATATTGCTTTAGAAGCTGAGCTATACCGACACTTTTAATTGCCAGGAATTTTTTTTTTTTTTTAATATAGAAGCAACCTACAGATAGTGCTCCCTGCTGTACATTCCGTCAATTACAAACCCAAAGGACTTGTAAAATTATCCCAAAGAGCAGAATGCATATAGTAATTTAAAAGTAAAAGTCAATGCTCAAATATAATTTGTTGAACTAAAAGTCGGTAACAAGTACTAACATAGCAAGTACTAAAATCCCAAACAAATACTAAAAGATTCTCATATGCACAAACTTGAAAGACTCTTGTGCACAAACTAAAAGATTCTCATCCCTAACAAGTTGAAAGAACTTGCAGTAGTTTCCAAACTTTCCAATGAAATAAGAGCCTTCAGTCATAACCACAAAGTCCCTATCAATCTTCAGCTAGTTCCACCTGTGCACAAAGTTTGTGGGGATCATTAGATCATCATAGCTAGCAATAAAATTTTAGAAAAGCCACAATGTAAGACCAGCACATGGTATGGTAACTAGAGAAGAAAGCAAGCATTTTGGGACATGGTAAGGACCTACTACCCAGTTTCCTAGGGAATTGAACATGGAGGACTTGCATAGACCCTTTCACACTTCAAAAGTGCATTTTCAATTTGAGAGGCATACTAAGTTGCACCCAACCAATTATGAAATATTCAAGTTTTTGTCAGGATCACGCAACCCAGGCCCATCAATATGGTGGACAAGAACACAGATAAAAGAATCACTGTTCTTCAGGTGATGTTGATCCAAAAATGCTATTAAATCATCCATTGATCAAGTATAAATGGTTGTTGGTGCTTATGCAAACTCCTGGATGTAAACTTCTGTTGGGCTTTCAATTGATCGCATAAAAGCTCAGCTAAGGTTATAACAACCTACCATGTGAAATAACAATGTTTGTATCACAAACAAAGACCATTCTACTTTCACTTCAGAAAGAAAGAGAGGGGGGGAAGAGAGAGAGAGAAACAGAGAGACAGAGATCACAAGCAACTTCTTCAAAAATGAAAATGAGCATAACACATGAGCACATAATTCCATGACAAGGGAAACTGAAAAGCTTCACTTCAGAGAGAAAGAGAGGGAAGAGGGAGAGGGAGATAGAGAGAGAGAGAGAGATCACTAGCAACTTCTTAAAAATGAAAAGGAGCAACGTGAACCTTCTATGATTGATGATATGTCCAATTTTGAGCTAGTCACAGTGGCGAACAGTCGAAAACCCTTATGCACCCTTATTGCCTGCAAATGCCCAAAATTTTTCAATAAAGTTCCTCAAACAGAGATAAGTTACAAAATTCTTTTAGTTATACAAGGATATGCCAGCATGACAGCATTTAATTAACTCTACCAGCAATAGATGTCCAAGACTCTCTACTTTATCCCAGTTACTACTAGTAGATCACCAATAGACAAACCATATGACCAGTAAAATAAAACTAAAAAATACAATCATGTGTTGAAAAATTGCAAAAAATGGTCATCAATGCTAGACAACCAAACCTAAGCTATGATAGATTGCTATGGAAAAAGTGCTATAGATCCAACATCAAATTTCAAACTGTTCCAAAGAGCAATTTGAATATCAAAAGTAAGCTAGAAAAGGAGCATACTTCCCCATGGCCAGTAATAAATGAACTTGCGCCCTCCAGTAAAGGCAACAAGATAGATTGAACATCAGGAGACGCTTTGTCAACATCCTCAACAACAACCCAAAATCCATTGCAAATATCCTGGAAAACAATTTTGTGCAGCTTATAAGAACGTAAAGTTGATCAATACCCTAAAGTCCACAGAGGATAACAAACCTGTGTAACAGAACCTGGCTGCCATCTGAACTCACCAGGTTGCTCTTTGCTCTGTACAAACATAACTTCCAAGCAATGTTTTTCCATCCATTTGCTCATCCATGTGAATAGACAATACTGCAATTACAGGCCAGAAAAATAACGAGCTAATCAGCATAATTGCAAATAAATATATGTATACATACATATTTTTTTCTTTCTGGGTAAACATGAACATGGTAAAACACTGATATCCCTCTGAACAACCCCCCTTTCCAAAAAAAAAAAAAAGAAAACATAAAAGGAAAAAAGTATGATAACGGGCCTTTAGAACTAGAATTTCGGCCCTAAACCACATACGTCTGCTCAAAAGCTCTCAAATCCTCTCTACTAAACACAATGGAAGTTACGAATGCTATACTCTGCCTAGCAATGAAATCCTGATATATAAATGCAGTATGAAGGCAACACATGCTTCAAATCATGCTGCAATACCATACCCATGAAACCATTCAAATACACCGGGCAAACATGCAGGACAATGGAGAACCAAGAGAAGAAGATTTGCTCAAATAAAAGGCTTTGTATTTCTCCTGCATTCACTTCTAAAGTTTAGAATAGCACAAAATAAGGTTCCAAATGCTTCAAGTGGGACAAAAAAGAGTGGTAGAAGAGACCAGAGCAGACGAGGATGGGAGGGCTAAAATTATCATCATAGCTATACTTTAAAGTCATATTCCAAGTTAACAGAGCAAAAATGAGACAGTATGAAAGGGAGTTATAATCTACGACTACATTTGTTGTTTCTAATATGTGCATATACCTCTAGCTTGCTAAGCATAGAGTGAAAAGTTATCTACAATCACAAGCATGCAATGATAATAGCCAAGTAAAGTAAGATAAAGTGAACATTTAATGAAACATTTGATATACATGATTTTGCATAGTTTGTCTCCACAAGTTTCATACTATTCCACGACTCTGAAATTGGATGTATGCAATTCTAGACCGGTCAAGGGTGCTATGTATGAAATGCAAAATGTAGCATCATACCTTTATGTAATGATTAGATCACCAATAACCACAATTTTATCTGCTAAAAGTGCACAAAAGGAAATCATTCCCTATTTCTTATCAATAACATGCTTTTGCATAGTTTGACTCCACAAGTTTTATACTACTACTACAGTACTCTGAAATTGGATGTATGCAATTCTAGACCAGTCAAGAATGCCATGTATGAAATGCAAAATGTAGCATCCTACCTTCGTGCAATGATTAGATCACAAATAACCACAATTTCTTTCGGTAAAAGTGCACAAAAGGAATTCATTCCCTATATCTTATCAATATCTATTACCATGTGACCTTGATGATGCTCCAATTTGCTGGTAAAAAGTCATGAAATTCTGAAGCAAATACAGGCAAACTATTGCTGAAATTCTTAAGATCAGGACTAAGGTTGTCAGTCATTGCATCCAGTTGTCTTCCATCAAAAATTCCAAGATACCAGCCCGCTCTCTCCAATGCAATATCTTGATAAAATTCTTGCCAGCTGCCAAACGAAGAAGCAAATAAAGACATTAGGGACATGTTGAAAATCGGATAAACACAAGAAAATAATTTTTATATCACAACTCTCCAAAGTGCACAATCAAAAGAATTTCATGCCCCCTCTAGAAGAGTATTCTCCACATTCACTGAATCCAACCAAAAGTCATCAATTTCTTTCTCATGTTTTTGCTCAATATTGGCCAGGGCTACCCTTAGTTCTTGCATTATTCAGTAAGGAAAAGGCCCAAAAAGGTAACTTTTTTTGCAGAAAACCACCAACCAAAATTTACATATAGAAAAATTGCAGATTATAACCTGTTCATCGACGACATCGATATCTACGAGCTTGTGGCCCGATTTCTCACCGGCTAAGAAATAATTTTTGGAGAATCCGAACTTGTCGTCTTCGATGTCATATTGTTCCATTTTCTGGTTTTGACGAACCTAAACCTGATGATGAGAGGGAAGGAGTAGGGGCGATGGGACGGCGGAGGTAGGGAGCAGAGGAGAGGAGAGTGGCCGAGAGAAATCAATTTAGGTCAAAAATTTATCATGCAATTACATACCTTCATTGGGAAAGCAAGGGTAGTTTGATTGCGAAGAGATTCAATAGAAAAAACTCTACGGGGATAGCAAAATTTTGACCAAGAGTTTTGAGAGATAATTTGCCGAGAGAGAGAATTTGTGATAGAGATTTTAAGACGCAAAATTTCACTAGCAGGTAAAATGAAGTTTTAACCAACTCTCAATAGAGAAGTTGGCTACCACTGTATATAGTGGGGTGGGAGGTCAAGGGTTCAAACCTTACCTCCCATCAATATGCCTCAATATGAGGAGTGTTTTAAATTCATACGGGTGAGTGGTGTACCTGTCTGGTTAGATGGTGGTTAAATCCCCGTCAGATTCCCCCGACTCAATTGGCCCACTCCCTAGAGTCGCTTCCTTTAAAAAGTAAGTCTCCCCCCCTTAGGAGTAGGAGTAGGCTAGGCTAAGTTAGAAATTGCCGTTAGTGAAAAAAAATAAAGGTAAAATGAAGTTTTGAGATTTCACTAAGTGTTTTGGCAAAGGAATCTTCCGCCAAAATCAAACGACGTCGTTTTCTGTTTTAATTTTTTTTTTGGTGTATCTCACATATTTTCAAGCGTGATGATAATGAATCTAAAGGTACATTATTATTTTTATATCAGATAAAAAAATTAGAGTATATATTATTGAGTTGATAACAAATATTATAGTAGAAGTGTCATAATGACACAAACCAGTAAGTGTCCTTATAAACATGTCAGAAAAGACCATTTTTATTGTAGTGATTTTTTGAAAATATGAAATGTGGTGTAGTTTTTTTTTTTTTTTTTAACTTTTGATACAATTGAGAGTAGCATGTGTTTAGGTGTATTTATCAAAATGTTCTCATTTTGGTACATTTAAAACTTTGATTTATGTAGACATCTGGATATTTATGAAATATGAAATTATCTTGCAACCGCCTTTGCATCGAGTACAACTCATATAAGTTTATGTGTTGGTATAATTACTGAAATGGTGTTATAGACACATTTAATTGAAATGTGGCATTTATTGTGGAATTAACACAAAGGCATATTAAACCGTTGTGCAATTCATACGTACCCATTAACAGTTGGAAGATATTTCTTTGTTTGAAACAACTTATGTCTGTTTTTGGATGATTTTCAACTGATATCCATAGGGACTTTTTGAAAATGGTAAAATTGTAAAAGTATTGACAAAGCAAAGTGTACAAGTGTGTTCTGCAATTAGAATGTACTATTATTAGTTTTGTCATATTTAATGACTATTTTTTTTTCAGAATGTACTGTTATTTATCCAATGAAAAATTCTTTCTAACCACAACACCAAACACTCGCGCGATGCACCAACACTTCCCCTAATGCTGAATATAACATTAGCCAATGCCCTTATTAATATATTCATTGTTTCTAAAACTTGTCCACCCTCACGTCACACGTGAGGCCTCCATTCAACTAGTAAACAATAATGAACAGTTAATCCATGATATCAAGGATAACAATGGACATTAGAATGGCAAACATAGGGTATCCATTCAACTAGTAAACAATAATGAACAATTAATCAATGATATCAAGGAAAACAAGGGACGTCAGAATGGTAACATTAATCGATGCAAGACACAAAGTGGATTCCGATCAAAAGTTAGTTGAAACTCCAGATAGGAACTAAATTTGATCAATATGAATTTGTAAGTGACGTAAAATTACACTTTTAAAAGTGGGGGATAAAAAAATCATTCTACAAAATGTAAAGAACCTTTTGAACCATTTTTCCTAAGAATAATTAGTTTGGTCAATATGTTAAATCAAGAATTGCAATTGTGATTCAATTCAAAATCTATCTTTTCTGCAAAATTTGGACGCAATTACAACTGTTTCATAAACAAATATTGGAGATTAAAAAGAGAGAGAGAGAGAGAGAGAGGGGATTTTCTCCTCCTATTGGTTCTGTGGAATTGGAAAAGACACATTATGTTAATTTAGATATTTCTAATAATTAATTACATCAAGTATCGGTTTTGACTTTGCTTAATTGAGGAATACGAGCCAAAGCCGGGTTGGACTTTTAGGAGAATCGGGAATATAAAGCTGGATTGGACTTTTAGGGGGATTGGGAAATATAAAAGTTGAAAACGCACGTGATTATAACGGCGTGGCAGAGTAGTAACCAGTCGTGAGACTTGGTTGTGAGGCCGAGGATCCGAAGTGTTTCACGTGCTAAATTATAGCCATTCTCATCCACTGAAGCTACAATTTCTTTGTTTGTCTTGATAGAGGAATTCCACAAAAATTCTAGGAGATACCCAAAAACATTTTTGGAAGAGCCTGAAACCTTTGTGTTTTGACATAGATGGCAGGATGCATTAGCTTCACAGCATCGACAGATTGGTTTTATAGGTCCTTTTTCGCCTACACTGGCCTCAAATCTGTCACGACAGATTTTGGGGTTGGGACCTTCATGCATTGTTGGGTGCCAAAAACGGTCAAACCATCGAAACCTAATCTTCTGCTGCTGCATGGCTTTGGAGCCAATGCAATGTGGCAATACCGGGAGCATCTCCGCCACCTCGTGCCAAAGTTCAACATCTACGTCCCTGATCTCCTCTTTTTTGGCGAATCCTCGACCAAGAGTCCCGAGAGAACGGAGGCATTCCAGGCACAATGTGTCATGAAACTGATGGAGGTGCACGGGGTACAAAAGATGAACTTGGTGGGCATAAGTTATGGCGGGTTTGTAGGGTACAGCATGGCGGTACAGTTTCCCGAGGCAATAGAGAAATTGGTGCTATGTTGCACTGGTGTTTGCTCGGAGGAGAAGGATATGGAGGAGGGTCTGTTCCCGGTTCCGGATTTAGACGAGGCTGCTAACGTTTTGGTGCCCCAGACCCCGGATAAACTTAGGGAACTGATGAATCTTTCATTCGCCAAGCCTGTCAAAAGAGTCCCCTCGTGCTTCCTTACAGATTTTATTGATGTAAGCCTAGCCTCGTTCTCTCTCTCTCTGTGCATGTCAAAGGTTTATGCATTTCCCTTTCTCCAACAAAAAAGAGAAGAAAAGAAAAACTCTGGAAATCGTTCCATCATAATTTTGTCCAAAATGCCTATCAAAGGATTTGGAAATTTAAGCGCACGGCATTGAGACTCTAATTCCCAACTCTGCGACTACCGGCAACTAAAGAAGAAATGAGCCCTTGTGACAAGAAACCAGTGTTGCATTCCCACCGGGACCGGACAACTAGCCATGCACTATATATGTTTAACAAGCCAAGAAGAAGAGAGAAACATCTTTACATGACCTTAATTACTACACAACATTCTGCCCACGTCATATTCACAGAATTAATTTGTAGCAGTACATAAAGGTTATTCCTCGATCTTAGATGGAAACAAATAGCTAGCTGAAGCCCGGATGCGCATTGAAAGGTTAAAATGAGTGATAGGAATATATATATATATATATACCCTTCCAAAAATAGGATAACCGGTTGAAATTTGTCATGCTCGTTTAGATGCATGCCGCTTAATTACTTCATTGCAGCATTTAAACACTTCAATTTTCAATTTGGCGATGATATTGTTTGTTGCATGGGCAGGTAATGTGCACAGACCACGTAAAAGAGAAGAGGGAACTCATAAAAAACATACTCGAAGATCGACAGCTCTCAAAGATTCCCAGAATCACACAGGTTTGAGTCTTCCTAAAATATAATGGATGGTGCTATAGGTTGGAATTTTCTGCTATCATGACTGAATCCATCTGACACCCGCAACTTCAATCTTTCTAAAAGCTTTCTAGACGGACTAATTTCTTTCTTGATTCCGAATGGTATCATATTTGAAACAGCCCACATTGATCATATGGGGGGAGCAGGATCAAATCTTCCCCGTGGAATTGGGTCACAGAATGAAAAGGTAAAATTTAACCTTTCAATGTGCATCCGTGCTTCAACTAGCTATTTGTTTCCGTCCAGTTAAATGGAGGAGTGACCTTTATGTACAATTACAAATTAATTCTGTGTTATGTGACTTGGGAATTGAGGAAAAAATATCATATCCATGAGCAGGCATATTGGGGAAAATGCTCGAATTGAGGTGATTAAACATGCAGGACATGGCGTCAACTTGGAAAAGCCTAAGGAATTTAACAAACATCTCAAAGCATTTCTTGTTGATTCTTCTGATTCCTCCTCCTCCTCCTCCTCCTCCTCCTCCTCCTCCTCCTCCCATTCCTTGATTAATTACTACAGGCATCGACGCTTTTGGAGCAGCTAATCAACAACTGCCTCGTCTTTCACAAATCCAATGCAGTGAAGAGTGAAGATTGTTGTGAACTACTGAACTATACGGAGTATGTGGACCTTAATCACCTAATAATTATTACCCTTCCTTATCATGGATATGCTCAGAGTAACAATTGTTGCCCTCCTTTGTATTTACATATTTTTTTCTATTTAATTATACCTATATATCCTCCATTGTATTTATTTATTTTTTCTAATTAATCTTACATTTCTAAAAATACGACACATGAAATGGGCACCCATTAGACATTTAGATTTTCATTTCTCACCACCCCTCTTTGCAACTTGACTAATTGGATCGTCAAGTATTCATGCCACAAAAAACCAAATAAAAAATGTGCTCTTCAAGTTTGAAACATAATAATAAGTAAAGAGGAGTGCTCATACCGTCCAAAGGCATTCATGAAAACGATTTGCCTCGATGAACGATTTTTTGAAACCCACCCTATGGATACCACATCCATCTTAAGCATCGGTTCATATAACTTCACTTTTTCAACGTGGAATGGAATATCATAAACCCAAGTGAATCCGAACAAAAAGTCCAAACCAATGAGTACTGGAATTGTTATCTTAAACAATCCTCACACATTAATGTTATCTTAAACACATCTTAATTGTAATATGGAATGGTCACTTTCCACTCATAAGCAGCATTTAACAATCTGCTTATCGCTTGTAATGCAAATCAATTACATAGCAAGGGTATAATTGTCAAATTGTGTCGAAGAGTGCACGCCACAACATTAATTTGTACACTCAGCAAAATGAATGGTATTCCAACTTTTTTCCTTTCGAAATTACCCTTAAAGAGATGGCAGATGAGAATTTTCCCAGAGTCATAAAATAACGATTTTCAAGCACCCTTCCCAAAAAAAAAAGAAAGAAATATAATACTTCTTAGCTTTTTTGTCCTGTTGTCTTCTAAGGTCCAGATTTCGGAGAATTCATTCTGGGTTAGTCCAAGAGTGGGGACCGTTCTTTGAATTGTATGAGAAATTTGAGAAGCAATTTGGGGATTCTAGAGTGCTGCCAGGTTAATTACTACACCACTTGTTAAATACAAATTGTTCGAAAAATATATTAAATTAATGATATAGTTGTACTGTACTAACTGTATGCTACCTTAATTGCATTCTAGAATTTTCTCGATACTTCATTTATTGGTCAACTAAGGCGAGTTTAGTACTTGAAATGGAATATCCCTAGTTAAAATCAACCCATAATGTAACACCTTCATCACTTCAACCTTTTATGAATGCTACTAGGGAAGTTGTGAAGGAGTAATTGGAGTAGCAATCAATAAATTTGTAATATTCAGCTGAAAAGAACATGGAACAATGTAAAAGAGAATCATCAGTGTGTAATGCTCTAAATTTAGTTTTCTAAATGTATAGAACTCGTCTTTCATAACAAGTAAGTGTTTTAATCGATAAATTTACTATGACATAAAGCATGATTTTGTATAGAATTAAAACACTATTTTCTTAAAAATGAGGGAACCTAGTACCGTGAAAAAAGAGGAGATCAAGGCTACTAAAGTGATGATATCACATTGGTATTATAGTTTTTTGATTTGCATATCTACTACTATAAAATAAAGACTAAATAATACTTGACTTGAGTGTTTTGAAAAGCAAACATGCTAAACAGTGGGATCATCAATATCCAATGATTAGTTAAACATGCTTTCCACCAAGACTGAAACAATTAAACAAAAGCAGATTCCAAAAAAAAGAAAAACCCATTGATATCTTATCATACATATGTAACAAGTAGGGGTGTGCATCGAATTCGAATTCGGTAATTCGGAAGTTTGAATTCGAAATTTTTCGAAATTTTGGTACCTGGTAATTCGACCGAATTCGATTTCGAATTCACCAATTCCGAATTCGAATTCGTACCGAATTCAATTCGGAATTCGGTAAATTCCGATTTCACCGATTTCACCGAATTCGGAAAAATTTATATATTATTATATAATATAAAATTTATAATAATATATAATATTATATAAAAGAACTTAAATAACAAAAGACAAACTTTAACAAATTTTATCAAGGAACATAAGAGGAAGGAGAGTAGCTAAATAAGCATATTTTCATGAATAATTGAAACGGAAAACATAAGGAAAGGAAAGGGAAAGGGAAAGAGGAACAACCACCAATGGTATGAACCACAATCAACTGAACCAATCATGTTTTGTATTAACAATCCTTTTGTTAGCAAAGTTTTTCAAAAATCTGCTCAACAAATGCAACAGAAGGGGAAAAGTTTTGCATTTAAGCTTCAAAGATGCTTTCCAAGAGATTCCTCATCTCTCATGCATTACTCCCATCTTAAAGATGTCATAATTGCTCATTCTATTCACCCAACTCTTTGTATGAGTTCAATTGCACATGCGGAAGTTCAGGAGAGGAAAACATCTATTGTTACACCTCCACCATAGAGTAGTCAATTAATCATTATCTTAACGAATTCATATTGTCTTAATGATGCTTCAGTTATTGAATTTAATTAGTCGTGCTCTTTGCACAAGCTCAATTGCTTGACTCAGCGTTTGCAATAGTTCCAAGTTCACCCAACTACCTCTCTATCTTAACAAGAGACCTAGTGGATGGCTAAAAGGGTAAAACTATCACTACAGCCAGATAAGCAGAATTTGAGAATGTAATCATCATTCCACCAAAGGTACGCTTGTCAACTCACAGCAACGAACACAGCATGCTTGCACTCGAAGCTGGATCAGTTGTATTATGCCTAAATGTTACCTAAATTGCCCTTAAAAAGATTAGATGAAAAATAATCAACAGTCAAACATCAACTCCTTTATATATATATATAGGAAATCTTCAGAACTTAACTGTTGTGGATGCTAAGTCTTCAGAACTTAAATGTGACGTTGAAAAAAATATCGAATCATGTTGTATTGGTAAACTAGCAAGTCTTGCTCTGTTTACCCGACCGCACTTTGACGACATAAATTATGCCAAGTCTGCAAAATTCTAGCATCTCAACAAACAAGGTCAACTATCTGACCTCCGTCACAAATCCAAAATGAATCTCTCAAGTTAAACTTCAGTGATCAGACTCTACTTGAGCATTGATTTATAATAATATTTTTCTTTTCCAAAAGATGTGGGATGAAATATCATAAATCCAAACATAAAGTCCAAATCAATGACTATAAAGATCGCGGCTTCATAAGTTGAGTTTTGTCCAATTCAATCAGTTTATATGATCCTTTATAAATTTAACGTAAGTTATCACAGTTTCATTGTAATGGTGAATTTTATGTCAACTTAATTAATTATATACGATGACAAATTCAAATTTACGAAACCATTAGTTTATAGGAGTTTATGCTACCAAAGGGTAGTATGAGAATTAGTAGTAGTATTTCAATTGGTCTGAAGCGGACAACGTCGAGGCATGTGATCCACGCACCTACGTACGTACACTCGTACAGAACAGAAACTTACAACCTTTTTCTTGCGCGTGCATGTTTCTTCAATAATTGGAGTACAAACTTTTGCTGGTTTGGCACTCCTTTTTCCCGTTTGTTTGGTACGGGACATTATGAGCCGTCGACATTATTAGTCGTATCCAACACAAATTGAAAACGAAAAATTCTCCGCGATTTGATGCATGCATGAATACTCCAAAGCTGCGGTACGGCTGCACGGTGTACACTGCACCAGAAATCCAGTCCAAAGAAGAAATTATTTGAAACTCTTTCCCAGCACGGCGTACTCGATAAAAGTAAAACGACACAGTTCAAAACGGGGCACGTTGAAAGCAAGACTTTTCATGAAACAGAGCAATTTAGGTAACAGCCGGCACGGCAGGTTTGTTGGGTCAAAATCAAATTAATAATATATATAATGGAGTGCTGTGATAGCAGAGGATTGGGAACTCATTCACGCCGTTCAAGTCACCGTCCAATAATACGTGCATCAAACGTCAGAAGGGATGGACCCTCCACCGGACCGGACACAGGAGGAGACGTCGGCAGAAGTATTAACAAGACAACTCAGCATGAGCATCTTTTCCCCGTCAATTGGGGCCCAATTCAGATACGGCAGCCCGCCGGTGAAAGCTATCGGTGCGGTTAGCTTAACAACACACCGGGCCTCGTGATGAACGGGAATCCCGAGCGAATTATCGTGAAGTGCTGTTTTTTTTTTCCTTTTTTCTTTTTTCTCATTTTCCTGAGACAGTAGTGTGAGACTGTGAGTCTTAAATTTTAGGTATAAAAATAATTTTTTTTAAACTAACTTATCAGTTAGGTAAATAAGACTTTAGTTAAACAGACTTATCAATAAGTAATGCAAAATGCTTTTGTATACGGTTAACCAAATTTTCACCCGATATTACATGGATTGACAATAATAATTAAACTCCAACATATTCTCAAAACAACCAAATCTCAAAATTCATTATTTCAATTACAATCATGCCATGCTATTCAAGCATTACTTCTTCCTGCCCTGCCCTGCCCTGCACGGATGAATCCACTTTTTGCACCATAGATGAGACGTGACCCGAAACGTGAAATATCAGCCGACTCTAGCTCAAATTAAGGGCCTCTTTGGAACCAAGTTTTTTGACCAAGTTTTTTAGCTACTAGTTTTTTAACAACTTTAATTACAGAAATCCAAAAAAATTTATCAAATTTTTTAACTTACACACTTCAAAATATCTAATACACAAAAAACTTCCTCTTTTCTTCTTCTTTCTCCCCCACCCCTATCCACCACACCTTCATCGCCGGCCATCCCTCCGCCGCCGGCCACCACCACCTCCGCCGCTGTTTCCGGCCCCGGCCACCTATTCCGGCGCCAACCTACCCCTTTTTTTTCCTTCTCCCTCTCCCCCTTCCCCTCTCCTTCCCTCCCTAGCCAGCCTCCCGCTTCCTCTCTGGTCTCTAGTCGCACGGTACTAGATCACATCTGCGATCTAGTCGAACGA